TTATTATTAAACGACTTATTCTGCTGTTTCTTAAAATATTAATTACACTTCAGTTTTTTGCATTGGTGTACAAAGAATGTTATGTGCCTATATTAACATATAAATTATTAGAAAGAAATTCTCGATCTATTATCTGTACCAGTGAAAACCAAATGATGATCCGTAGTGTGATTAGAAGAAGTGAGAAAAACAGAGTAAGAGAGAGATGCAAACAATGACTTCATACTATTTGTAGAACTTAAATTCACTACTTTCTCTGTGTTAGGTTGACTGAAAAGGGTTTCTTTTAAAGATAGAGCCACCTTCACCTCTCTTGTACTTTACCCCTATTGTAGTAATATATTTAGGTAGCAATAAATATGTGACGTATTTTAATTAATTTGTTACTAAAACATATTTTAGTAACAAATTAATTAAGGTTGATAAAATTATTGTTGGTAAAGAGAGTTAGTCATTAAAAACCTTGTCTATGCCATAATCAATTAGATTACAGGTGTCATTGTAGATTTGATCTAATTGGGTGTTTGACGTAATGTGTAATGTTTTTTGTAATATATTAAATATTATTGCGCTAAATACACCTAACTAATGTGGGTATATCAAGTAAGGCATTCACAACAATATCGACAGTTGAGAATGCCTCTGATTACCCTATCTGTGATAAAAGTCGAGATCGTATGCTTGTTTTTGATTAAATATTGTTCACTTAAATATAAAGAGCTCCCTCCGATCGATCCCCCGTCCAATTCAAACGTGGATCGAAATTACGACGGCCTGAGCCGATGTTCGAACCCCTAGTGGTGCCCTCAGACTAAAGTCGTATCCGTCAGGCAGGAGTTGGCCTTCAGCCGCTCCATAAGTCCTTCCGCGGGTTTGGAGTGCCATCTGCACTCGCCCCCTAACGTCCGGTGAAGCTGTAAAGGCCAGCTGCGGCCAACAGCATTAGAGTAGTCCGAAAAAAAAAAAATATATATATAAAGAGTTACACTGAAAGGGTATACCAAAATGAGAAACGGGTAGAATATCAAGAAACGAGGTGGAGATATTTTTGTTATAGCTGACCCGCGTAACAGCGCCTGATCACACTAACATGACATATATCATTATGTTTAGCTTAATTTACATAATATCTTTTTAAATTATAACCTATGTGTATAAGCAATATTACTGTAAAGATCCATCAAAATCCGTTCAGCAGTTTTTGTATGAAAGAGTAACAATCGTCCATCCATCCAGGCATACTAACAAACTTTCGCATTTATAATATTATTATAGCAAGAGAACCTTCATACAAACTACATGGTCACGTGACCAATTTAGTATGAACAATTGAAATTTTGTTTTCAGATTTTCACTTTTATTTTACATGTTTATTGTTGAAAGTGACTTATTTCGGCTTTACGTAGCAACATTACGTCTACCATGACATAACATTATTCGCATCGTTTACGAAAAGAATACAACGAGCCCTTATTGTTTTTATAGGACATCAAAGGACAGTTGATTGTAAGAAAATAATGGATATTCAGGAGTCAAGTGTTTACGTGTAATGTGTTATATCCACTTGACAAAACTAATTTACAAGATATATTTTTTATCAGTATCATCAAGTATTTCGTTCGCATAATATTATTACTACTTAATTTTTCCTTCCCTAACAGTGGAACACTACTTACCCTTAAAAAATATATATTTTAAAGTACATATTTTGTGCTTAACATTCTAGCCTCTAAGCCGTAAGTATATTAATCTACCCTATTTTGTATGTCTATGTATGGAACATAAAATAAAATGTAATATTATATAAATATATTTAATTATAATTCACGATAAATCTTTTAAAATAGAATGGTACATTATTATTAACTTTAATCGGCTACAGTTTTTTATTTGTTTGTTTTTCTATAGTTTATATTTGATATCTTATCGGGCATAGATAATACGTCACCGCATTAAAAAAATGATTATTTTGTTTCATTGCCACCATAATACAGGGGCGAAGGGGGAAGGGGGAAGGGGATTGTTAGTAGTATGGACTAATAACGCCATTGGCAATGTACCATATCAGCTTGACACGTCTACGTGATTCCCCCTGGAAACCATCTTGATAAATTCATGGTGAATTTACCACGATGGGCAAACTGACCTGACCTGCTCAGCTTATTATGTTTTACTGGTACCCCGCCAGTGTAAACCGTTAGCGAAGGCGCTTGTACCATTACATTATCATCAATAGAAAAACAAATTATCCTAATACATTTAATATAGTGTAAATCTCAAATATACATTTATTTTAGTTTAATAAAAATGGTCTAGATAATTGATATTGGTACCTTCATTATTAAACTTTTAGTATATATCTTTTTATATTGTGCATTCATATGTATTATGACTATGTATGATATATATTTAAAGTTATGACTGTAAAGATTTCTAAAAATGTGTAAATGTTGGAGAAAGTTAAAGATATGAAATTGAAAATATATTTAAAGTCGATTAATATATATCGTATATATCCGAAAAAACGCAGTATAATATTAATATTTCCTTTATTAAATTGTTCACTACAAATCGAAATAAAAATATCACATATTTTCTAGTAAAAGCACAAAATAGTTTATCTAATTTGATTTATGTTTATAAAAGAAATAAAAACAAGTTATAAAATTTATTAAGATTAATCAGGCATCTGGTACTAAATATGATTATTTACTATTGAATAAATAAATAATTAAATCTAAGAATTTTCATCAATTTAATTACCACCTAATCAATAAAAAAAGAATATTTTTAATTAAGTAAAAGTGCATTATGAATTACCCTAATTAAATGATATGATTATAATTCGCTACGTGACTAAACGATATGTACCTGCGTCCATGTTTGAAATTCGTCGTGTTTAGAGTACGAGGCGTTTGGAACACAACAATTAAAAAATACTGCGAGTTCAGAACAAATTGCATACATATTAACTGTCCATACACTATTAATAACTATCACAGACTGTAGTAGGCCTTACAAAACATTAAAGATAAGTCTTTATAGCTTGGATAATGATTGAAAATTGCGGATTAGGCAAGTATATTTGAGGACGAATTAGATTACGATAAATAGTAATCCTTTACGTGAATTCACTTTCAATCTATCTACCGATGTTATGACTAACCTACATCAATGGAAGATGATGTGATGTTACAATCAGAAGACACAAAGTAATCTTATTACAAACATATTTTTAAAATAAGGTTTTCTGGAAATGTAATGATCATGCCTTACCGTTTAATGCTATAATTAACGACCTATGTGGTATAGCTGTTTCGCACATCGGCTTACCTCCAATTCTCATGATAGAAACATTTGGATTCATGATATGAGACTAGATAACAAACATATAGACAATTAAACACGCTTTGCCTCTATAATATTAGTAAAGATACAGAAACCACATTCTTGTGAATTTATAAATCTAAATGAAATACAACATTAGGCATTCTAACACCAACTGGTTCATATTTGGCGAAAATATCACAAAAACAAAAAATAAGGTCGACGTAAGAACCATTATCACTAATAGATGCTTAATTATGTAAAAGATAGACATAGTAATGTTTACTGATAAAAAAAGGTATTATCTAATCTAGACTACATTTTTATTTTTTTATGCTAACTCCATAAATGTACTATACGAATATGTTTTGTCGTTAGACTCACAGCCTAGGTCTAGTAAGTCTAGATAAATGGTTATTAGCCAATGGTCTACTGGTAGTCTCTGGAAGTACACGACGTGTTTACTTGTATAAATAGATTGATGAATGTAAACGACGGCGACATTTAAATAGGTCCATTTAAATGGAACATTAGGTGTAAAGTAATAACCGCGTAATACTTAAACAGCGGCATGCATCACAACATCACGTTATCAAGTAATGCACGTGGTACCACTTATTCGATGACACTCCGGAGGATGTCATGCCTCCATGACCCGTAATTCCATCTTCGTCTCTCCTTTTAACGAAAACACATCTTACAAAGCAAGGTACTTGGTGACTGAAATAAGTGAGATGTACACTTAAATCAACTTTGTACAGAATCTAGGTATCTTGATAAAATATTAATTCTTAAACTCGGACAAGAACTTGCATTTCTGTAGACGCATAAGTCCAAACACTATCCATAATATAAATAGAAGAATAACTATACGATGGTTTCAGTGGTCTCGAGGTTTAGTTCTGATGGTCGCGGGTTATTCCGCGCACGGTACAAACATTTGTCTTAAAGGAATGATATGATTCTTTTATTGGTTTTCTACGTATATTATGTATGTATTTACAAATAAAATGTATAAGTATATCTATCAGATATTTGGTACCCATAATACAAGGTCTGCTTGGGTTTGGGACATGCCGCTGTATGAATTGTCAAGGGATATTAAACTAGTTGACCCGCGCAGCTTCGTCTGCATCACACTATATTATTATATTTCACCCAATTTATATAATGCTAGCTGTTCCCGCGACTTCGTCCGCGTTGAATTTTATTTTAGTTTTCTAAAATAATGGATTTTTAAAATAAAAAAGTCAGTTATTACATCAGCTTCAAAAAAAGTCCTTCATCAAAATCGGTCCAGTCATTTCTGAGATATATACTTCTAGTTGAACAAACAGACAGACAGACAAAAATTGTAAAAAATGTTATTTTGGTGTACCATATTGTGTTTGGTGTACCGTATATATGTGTATTCATATGCATGTAGTAAAAAACGGTTATTTCAATATTACAAACAGACACTCCAATTTTATTTATATGTATAGATAATATCTTATTGAATTATAGCCTATGTGTTATTCTGATGAATAAGCTATATTAGTGTAAAGTTTCATCAAAATCAGTTCACTTCAAAAATAAATAGAAACTTCATCAAGCTACATTTCATCTCTGAAAATATATACTTCTAGTTGGACTCACGGAGTTAGTCTGGATGACGTGACATAAGTACTTACGGCGACGTCCACTAATGGTTCGTCTTCCGGCGTGAGAGCAAGCGAAGATCTGCGACCGGCACGGGCCTACGGCGATGAGTTCAAATTAATTTATAAAATAACAGAACACATTTAAGATATACATAGATATATTCAAGAAAAATTAAAACTGTTATTGCATTATTAAAGATATCTCAAATACTACTGGCGATCATTATCTAAAATACACCAAGTTCTGAATAAAAAAAAACAATATCAATTCAATACAATCGAATTAAGAATCTCTATATTTTAAGTTTTGTTCATAAAATGGAATAAGTTTTACGTCAGGTCCTACGGTATGAGTTCAAATTAATTTATAATATAAATAAATATTTGTTACAGAAAACGGAAAGATACCGTTACTTGGTAGGTACCTCTCCTATCACATAAATACTGAACGGTTATACTATTTTTTTTTAAAGTACCCGCGTAATTGTGTGTACTCTCTTGCGTTAATGGTTTACCCTGGCGGAGCACCAGTGGAGGATGATAAGATGAACATGAGATTAGGTCAGTTAGCCCATCGTGGCAAATTCACCAGGAATTTATCATAATGTTTTCCAGGGCGAACCGCGTGGAGACCACATTGATATGGTACATTACTAGCACGGGGGCCATCAGTCATTACTAATAAGACCTTTCGCCTTATTGATCTTAAGAACAATATTAGAGTAAAGAGACTTCTCTTTTTTATATTGAAAGAGTTTGGGAGTCCTAGATCAAGGAGACTAGGGACTGCATTTTTATTTAGATGATGGAGGAATAATGATTCTGCGTATAGTGATGATATGCAACAATTAGTGATGAAAAGATAAAAATGGAATTAGTCATGGACTCAGTGATTTCACCTTGAACACATCGTTAAATTACATAAATAAATTCACTCATTGTAACACTACATTGAGTGCCTATTTTAATTGGTATGGTAAACATGTTGACTGTCCACCAAATGATAAGTGGTAACCTTCGACTACATACATGAGCACTATAGACATCATGTTATCACGTGATGCCCATGATAACGCTCATGCATTGTTATTCTAAGGGACGACTGACCTGGTTGTTTGTAAACAATCAATGAATTTTTCGCTAAAAGTTGGCGTAATGTTTAGTAATATAAGTAATAGTATATCTTTAAATAATATGTATTAACACCTAATAAACATAATTGTTTTATTAATACTGACATTCTTTTAATATTGATAGTTGATACCATATTTGCCTTTAAGACTGTAATTTTAGTGACTTAGGTACAACCGAAACAGATTACTAAAAGCCATTTGGCGGCTAAAACAGTTACTATAAAAAATAATATAATGAAACCCATACAAAATTACTACAATAACATGTTAAACGTAAACAACTACATTAGTTGATAAAAAACTGTGTAGCATTTCTTTTTTAAAATTGAGACTTAGTCATGCTGAGAACTTTTTATAAGTCAATCTCGGTAAAAATATGATGTAGATGAAGCATATAACGCCATCTATTGGAGTGATGTGGATAGTCTTTATCTCAATGAGATGCGCGGCGGTTGGTAATGTTGCGCGTGCCTATACGATGACCCTGACTTTTCAATGGAGAACGGACGCTTGCTATTGAGAGATTGATTAAAATTAAATAGTTTATAATAAATTTTTGTATGTAGTGTTTTATGACCGTTATCTTAAACTAGCAGTGCCTGCGGTTTCACCCGCATGAAATTTAGAGCAGAAATCAAAATAATATATATATTATCCTGATTAGTAAGCTACATTACTATAAAGTTTCATCAAAAGAGTAATAAACATCCATCCATCCATATTCACAATCTTTCGCGTTTATAATATTAATGATATTAGTAACATAGTTGGTGTAGAGTTAGACTAGAGTCTACAGAAAATAATGATTTCGCATTTAATTTTTTCGATCAAATTTAATTTTGCGTTTACTCTCAATTTTTAACGCCTGATTACAAAAAGAGGGATGTTATAAGTCGAAAGAACCCATTATTTTGGAGATTTGTTTTTGTTTGAAAGCTTAATATAAAGCTTAATATAATTAATATAAATTGTAGCTTCTTAGCTACAATTTATTTGAGTTTTTTTTAGGATTACGTATAGTTTTTAATTATACACACAAATAGACAATTCGTACGTGTTGCATAGTAGAGACAGTTTTATTTATATACACGTACTATGAATTTCTTATAGAACAATAATACGCTATACTTTATTATTATCTGCATTCATTATAATGATTTCAAGTATATTCTTTCATGAAGATACAATACGTAGGCTACAGCCTCGTGGAATATGCAAAGTATACTCTTTAATGATGGGAAGAAGGGGACTGTTAGTAATGATCCTGACGTATATTATTTACTTTAATCATGTTAATATATTGAACTATTAAGTTTCTTAGAAACATTTCTTTAAAAAATAATGTGTGGTTTCTAATAAAACATAAGAGTATCTATGTCAGTAATTCTTTTAACTACTCCCAGAATGTCGCTAATGCCGTGTAGATAAGAAAAAATATATAATAAAGCATTTAAACCAAACCCGCAACTGCTAGCGAGTGTTTATGTTCAAAACCAGTAGAGGTACATAGGTGGTTTGTTATGATTATGTTTGTATGTTTTCATTGATAATCGTCGTACACACAACATTATTGAAAATCGTCGATAATGGCGAATTGGAAGATCGTTAGTAGAAGAAGTAACAGCGAAATGTAGTCGACCATTACATGAAATATATCCCGTATTATTTGAACTATAAATAGAAATCATCTTTATTCAAACTTAATATCAATTAATATTACTTAATAAATTTTTTATAGTCATAAGTTGAATGAAACTTGCATGTTGTTCTTTTAAATAAATGTCTACAAATTTCAAGTAGCTTTAAAAATTAACGTAAACAACTTATAGAGATGTTATTGATGAAGTATTTACTTTTATTGGTCATTCCTATATTTGGACAGTGTACAACAAGTAGCGACAATTTTCCATTTATATTCACCATTCACTGTGTGAATTTCGCAAGTCTTTGCATATATTTATATACATATGTAAAATATAATATATAGGTAATCGTTAACGACCTGGATACAAAGAGCAAAAAGAATTTTGAGACAAATAGATATACCATAAACCATCACCTGTCTCTACTACTTCGTCGTCATCGCGCGTCTGAAGCCATCGTTTCACCAATTCCACGCTGGTTTCTTCACCAGCCAACATTTTTTATTCACATACTTTTATAAGCACTCAGACAAATATTGCTTTTCACTTTTTAATAACACAACATTCATATGCATTTGATAGAGATCATTGACCTGAGTTGAATATATAGCTTTCACTAGAACTAATAAAAAATATTTAAATCATTTCACTATTATAAACAACAATCGAACACTCATTCTTAAAATTGGAATATTAAAGACAATAGACAATACAAACAATAAAATTGCGAACGGAGCAAAAACAAAACGAGTTAGCTTTTGCTTTAACCGAAGAAATGACACTACGTTGTTGCGTTCAAATATCGAATTAATTAAATGACGATCGTTGAAAAGCGAATGTAAACAGCGAGTACTAGATGAATCCAATTTATATTTGCAGTCGTGTGACTCATTTGTATTGGAAATTTCGACTTTATGACAAAGAGGTTGAAGATATTTTTTGTTTGAACGATGCAGCGGTTACGTTGTTGGCGAAGAGTTTGTAGTGCGCCAAGCGGTCGGTTAGGTAATGGCCGTCAAGTCGAGACAGTTGATCGAAGAAGGGGGGTAAATGTAGGCCGAGCGTAGTGTCTGGTCACACATTAACAGACTGGAAGGGATATGTTATAAAATTATAAGAAAGCTTTAACTTGAACACTATACGAGGCAAATAAAATTACCAATTTCTTTGTATCGCAATGTAAACAAAATTTATACTGATATCTGCTATCGTAATATGAATAAACAAGGTAAATGACGACCATTGAGGTCGTTATTTACCTCGTTTATTCATATTACATCTTGTGGAGTAGCACACCGCTTTACTTCCAATGGCCGCAGATTCAAGTCTCGCATCATAAAAATAAAAGCTGATGTGTGTATTGGATCTTTTCTGTGTATATTATGTATATACGTACAAAGTAAAGGTTTTAGTATTTTTATCAGTTGTTTGATACCCATTGTACGAGCTTTGCCTAGTTTGTGTGTAGTAGTAGTTGGTATTGTGTAAACCTTTATTATTATTTCTAACGAGTAAGGCAACAAGGTGTGATTTTATTTTTTCCCTATAATTTACACTCTAAGGACGTATATTTTATTTTAGAAAAAGTAAAAGTATTTTTATTGCAGTTCACATAGCGTTTTCTTTAATGTTTGCAAATGTTTTATAATAAGACGTTACAAGGAAGTTGTAAACTGATAACTTTCGTTTATTTTGAAGCGATAAAACTTAATTTGTATGATTATATCGATGATATTTTATCGCTTGACTACGAAGGTATCAATAAAATAATAAAATATTGTAAAATAAAATTATATGGCATTATAGAAATTTTAGAAGTGATAATTAAATATTTTATTGCCAATATCGAAAATACTGAAGACCAACCAAATATATCGCTTCAGAGTTGTCAAATCAAAAATCATTACTCATATATGTCAATTTCGGCCCCTTAATTTATTATCATTATACAGGGATAATGATAATAAATTAAGGGTCCAGTTCGGTTTACTTCAGTTGAGAAGATCTGGCAAGAAACTCAACTGGTACATTTTTTAAATACTTTTATCATTTTTTTAATCGATAATTTTTAAGATAGGTTGGTTTCAATAATGCAATGTGTCATAATTTTTTATAATATGTGCCTGTCACATTGTGGTGATCTGGTAAGTCAAGTATTTTCTTTTATTAAGAGTTTTGGGCTATTGTCAGGTGCTAAGCCTGTAGTACTGAAACCTGCATAGATCTATTGTGCTCGCCTTTTTAAAGTTCGCTACTATGATTAATATTCTATATCTTATCTTCGATATTCTTACGAGCGATGATTTTTATCTTCTCAGGACATAGTGTATATTTTCCAAAGGAGATATTTTGTTTATGCATGAGTGGGCTACAAGCACATACGACGTGTAGTGGCGTTTCCTCTTCTGTTTGCTAAAGTCTGCACATTGTTTTCAAGTCAAGTAGAGATAGACTTTTTTCTGGATTTTAACTATAACGATGGTTTCGTCATATAGTATGTTTTTATTCACTAAATTGATTCTGAGAATACTCGTCGAGAACCATTCTATTCGTTATGATGGATCGGTAACAATGGTATTTTTAATATATTCCAAAACAGATATCGATACCGATACGATAAACATATAAACAGATACGATAAATATTATTAATATCTTCTGTTTACCTGTCTGTTTCTTACCTTAGGCGTTCCTAGCTTCTAACACGAAAGGGGGATCAAGATTTTCTGGCCCAGGGTGGAGCTTTTTGGGCAGCTGTCCACCCTTGTCCCACACCCATGGCTACACGAGTCGTAATTATTAATCTAAACTATATATATGAATACATACGTACATATGTTAACTCTATATAAAAGCATGTTATGTGATATTAAGATGCATTACAATGCTATTCGTATATTTTGTTAATATAATATATAGTGGCCGTAATTGCGGATTCTGAGGTGGAGTCTGGAATGGCGAAATGGATTTTATACAACGGCATGTGCTTGAATTAATTTCAGTAAAATGAGCATTTTAATTTTATGTAAATGTATTATAACTATCATGTCTTTTGTTAGGTTAGTATTACCATACTATACGGCTTGTTTAATATTAAGGTAATATTAGATTGTACTAGCAATACTAACCGATTCAACTATTTTTATTCTTATTAAATGTCATGTATCAAAAAATGCATTTTTTCCATTTTAATATTTATTAAATTTGAAAAGATTTTTTGTTTGTTTTTAATTAAAGTGTCGATTTTGTATTATTTCAATACATTAAATAATGTATTTAGCGGCTTTTTGTTAACAACTGTATAAATCTACATGAATTAATAAAATATACTAAAGGATTGGTCCATTACTGGCTGGATTCAGCAATAAGGCTGTATTTTTGATCTAAATAAGCTTTCGTTTATAAAATGTTTATGTTTTTTTCTTTTGACTAGCGGTTTAGCTCACAGCCGTATTCCTCGCATGGCACGTCTTATATCATACTCATGATTCATGAGTATGTATTGGTTGTATTGTTTGTATTGGTCTAGGTATTTTCTATATATAATATGTATATTTAAAAAGCAATTACTTAACATCAGTTTTGTCAATTGTGTTTTGTGAATTGTCGTGGGTTATTATTATTACTTCTGAATGCGCAATAAATTGAGAGAGATTGCTTATCATTAAGACCGCCTCTTGTTCAGGAAAATTTATTATTTTAATTATTTTATGTATAAATTTCTATGTAGATTCTATAAAATTGATATTCTATATTATCTTTCTGGTATTATGATGTTTTTGAAAGTTCTCCTATATATTCAGTGTAACACAAAGGTAAGGACTAATGTATGTTAGTGAAGCAACAATACGATACATTTGGTACAATTAGTATTCTGCCATTGTTTATCTCCTGTGTTGTAGCGCAACTAAATCACTGACACACGACTCTTGTCACACGAAAGACAATTAATGTCAACAGTTTGACATGTCTCTGTACAGTGCCAGTGAAATATCAAGTAGGCTGTACAATTATTACACCTCAGGTACTTTATCCTTCATAGTAATATTTTATTTCTACACAGTAATTTCAGCAACATTGGTATTATTACTCTATTTTTTCTACAACTAATGGTAGTAGTTACTCTATTTTTTCTACAAACAATAGGCTCTTATGATATATCAAAACTACCAGTCAGCGCGAAGTGTTTTTGAGCTAATAACTCACAAGAAACTGAACTCATTTTCTTTTCAATTGTATCTTTATTATTGCGTTTCTAAAAATACTGGTATTTTTAGAAACAAAAATACAGATATATTTAATCAACTAGAGAGAATAGAGTGACCGCCAATATATGCTATTGCAATTTTGTTAACAGTAAATAGTGTAATCAGTGGCCGTAACCTGAACAGATTTACAATATACATATAGATATTTTATATACCAATTTTTAATACTAATAGCTATTTATTTAGTGGTACACAGGGCAGGTGGCCTGTGTCGTAATTAATGGAATATTAGTGAAATAAGATTCGACCGCGACCTCTGTGTCGTTTACCTTTTATTTTATCTTTAGTGTTCGGACCCGTGTATTTATGAATTATGATTATTTATGATTTATGAAATTTGATTGTGATATATGAATTGAGTGATTGATGAAACAATAACAACAAATATTTTATTGATATACAACAAATATTTTATTAATATTCACGCCATTTCTTATTACATTATTACATTAATAAAAATGTAATGAGCAAACCTTATTTTTATATATATCAACTTTCACACAATTCATTCAACTATTTTTTGGTCGTACTGTCCCTGTCCATCCACCCACCTTCATGTTGTTTACTTTCTTTAAGACATGATATTAATAAATATAACCTCTGAGCAAGTATTTTTCTTAACTTTTTTTAGCCTTTAAGATATTAATTGTCGAATAAAAAATAATAATTACTAAAGTAGACTTTTTGTTTTGTAATGTTTCGCCATTTACACAAATTTAAAAAAAAAACGCCATCTTTTTGTCACACTTTCTTGACACTTTTGATACCTGTTTAGTAATCGTTTTATAAAACTGTTCCCTGCGATTTTGTCTGCATTTTTGAGACAAAAGCTAAGCTAATGTCTGTATTGGTGATATAATCGATATTCCGCTGTTTACCCGTGAAAAGTTTAAAAATAAGCACTTTTGAATTTATTTTATTTAGTAGTGCATCTATTTGATATTCTGTGGTAATACAGTATATAGGTGTGAAACTGTAACTAGGACAGTTAAAAAGATCCTGTTACGTCATTTTACGTTGGTATAGGGGAACGAGATAATAAACTTGGGTAAATATCGTCTTACTCACGATTACCTTATGGCGGCCTACAGCTCAGTATCGCAGTATCTTAAATAATCCCTTGTTTGTGAATAAATGAAATATTATATCGTTAAAATACCTTAGAGTTTTTTTGTCTGCATGGCAATAGTTGTTCATGTTCAGGACTTTCATTTAATATTAGACATTGACA